TTCTTCTTCTTCTTCTTCTTCTTCTTCTTCTTCTTCTTCTTCTTCTTCTTCTTCTTCTTCTTCTTCTTCTTCTTCTCCTCTTTCTCCTCCTCCTCCTCTTCTTCCTTCCATCCTTCCATCCCTCCTCCTCCTCTTCTTCTTCCTTCCTCCTCCTCTTCTTCTTCCTTCCTCCTCCTCTTCTTCCTTCCTCATTTTCCTCCTCCTCCTCTTCCTTCCTCCTCTTCTTCCTCCTCTCCCTCTTGTTCTTCCTTCCTTCCTCCTCTTCTTCCTCCTCTTCTTCCTCCCTCCCTCCCCTCCTCCTCCTTCTCTCCTCCTCCTCCTCTTCTTCCTTCCATCCTTCCATCCCTCTTCCTCTTCCTCTTCTTCTTCTTCCTTCCTCCTCCTCTTCTTCTTCCTTCCTCCTCCTCTTCTTCCTTCCTCCTCTTCCTCCTCCTCTTCCTTCCTCCTCTTCTTCCTCCTCTCCCTCTTCTTCTTCCTTCCTCCTCTTCCTCCTCCTCTTCTTCCTCCCTCCCTCCCCTCCTCCTTCTCTCCTCCTCCTCCTCTTCCTCCCCCCTCCTCCTCCTCCTCCTTCCACACAGACACCATGGCAACATACAGGGGTTAACATCATTATTGGGAAAGATGTCTGATGCCACAATTCCTACCATACTGGCAACCTTCCCAGTTCACCTGGGTCTTTAAGTACAGGAAGTACAAATTGTAATGTGGAAGTTGGAAAATAGGGTAGGATTCCAGTCATTTTTTTTCACAATTTTGTTTGCAATTAACTTTCTCCGACATAGTTTCTACCTCAGAGTTCCCTCAGTTTTTGGTTTTTCGGTTCCAAATCACTGGATCAGGGGTGTCAAACTTGATTTTATTGAGGGCCACATCAGGGTTGTGTTTGACCTCGAGGGGGCAGGGGGGAGCATGGCCAGCTTGAGGTCACTCATGTCAGGGCCGCTCTTGAGGGCCTGAGTACTCTGCCAACAAAAACAGGTTCTCAAGCTCTGCTTTCAGCTTCAAGGGCCTCCTGCAACCCTCCGCCAGCAAAAATGGAGCTTGGGAAGNGCATAGTAGAATAATAGAAAGTGTGGCAGGCCTAAGATCCACCAGAAAATATGGCTGCAGGCCTGACACAAAGTCAATGGGGAACACAGATTCATTTAACAACCATGTTACTAACTTAACACCTGCAGTGATTTGCTTAACAAGAAGGACTGTAAAACGGGGCAAAACTCACTTCTGATTCACTTAGCAGCATAAATTTGGGGCTCAATTGTAATCGTAAGTTGAGGACTACCTATATTTAAAGGCAAAAGTCCAATTACCAGTCTCTTCCTTCTCTCCCTAGGCAACATCTTGAATTTCTGTCTCAAATGCCTGGATCCAAAGAATTATCTGGAAAGAATCTCCAGAAAATTCTGAACTCTCTCTTGGGGAAACCTCAGCCCATTAAGTTAACAAGCCAGCCATTCAAAAGGATTTGCAGTGAGTGCCCAACGGTGAGTGAGACAGAAATGTTTAACCTGTTTACATTGCTCCGTTTTCGGCTGCGACAGCCTCCTGCCATCCTCTGCCAGTGAAAATGGAGCTCGGGGGCCTGTGCACACACACACACACACACACCAGCTCCATTTTCGCTGGCAGAGGGCTGCAGGAGGCCGTCGTGGCTGAAAACGGAGCTCAGGAGCCGGTATTGACTGGCCGAGCGCTCAGGCCACCACAGACGCCACCGACATGAGTGACGTTAAGCTGGCCATGCCCATCCTGGTCCCTGAAGTTGAAAACAACCCGGATGCAGCCCTCAATGAAATTGAGTTTGACACCCCTGGTTTAAAACATGCACAGTCCTAATATATATTCCTCTATACAAGTAGCCCTCAAGTTAGACCATAACGGAACCTGTTAGATTACAATGGAGTCATAAATTGTAATTATCATAAAACAGATCAGTCACATGACCGATCCAGTTTTACAACTTGCTGTGGCTGTCACTAATCGAATACCAGGGTCGTTAAGCAGAGCCATCATTTGCTATGGTGTGATTTTGCCAAAACTGAAGTAGATACTGGTTTTTGGCAAAACCGTTGACCGCCAAATATGGCTTTTTCAGGCTTGGGCCTCGGTGTGCATTTTTTTCCAATGAGACAAACTGAGACAGGAAGATCATTTTATTACAATTTATCAGAATATAAATTGGAGATTTATAGGAGATTCCTCTCATTCAAAGAGGGAACCCAGATCTTTAGCTTACATCCCCTTTTACAGTTAACGTAACAAAGAAACCTGAAAGAGGAAAGTTGATTGGACAGGATAACAGCATACATGTTTATTAAAATTAGGGCTGAAGGGGAATAAATTGTAAGGAGAAAGGTTGTTTAGTTCACAAGAGATAAGCCAGACCCCAATTTGTACTAACAAACTATTCTTATCAGGAACTAGTCTCCAGTTTGTTTATCAGTTTAGGAATGTTAAAAGCCAATAGATCTTGAACATCACTTGAAAAGAAAGAATATAAATCAGATTAAAATACAAACTAACTATGTTAGTTAACAAGTAACAAAACCCATGTTATTTGCCCCTCACTGTCATAAAACTTGGTCACATGACTGAAAGACGCTGCAAATGGCCATGTTGTCAAGCAGCCAAGGGGCAGTCATGTGACCACAGAGGAACCTAGGATTCAGATCATGTCTCCTTTTTCACATTGGTTGGAATTCAAGGACCAACCATGTAGTATATTTAGAAATATAGAGGGTTGTTTGTCTTTCCTTAGACCTGCTTCATTTAATACCATATCACATTCATTGGCAGATTACTTTGAACATATCAGAAAGGATGTAAAAGTACCATATTTTTCAGATTTAAGACACACCAAGATTTTTTACACTTTCCAAACCTCCCCAAAACGGCCCATTTTTCATGAAAACGGGCCTGTTTTTTTGTCAAAAAAGGGCATGGATAACCTTTAGGAAGTTTATAGAGTGCTCCTGGGGACTGGAGGGGCCAAAATTGAGCAAAAAATAGCCCCTTTTTTGCTCATTTCTACTCTCCCCAGCCCCCAGGAGCACTCTGAAAGCCTCCTAAAGGCAATGCACGGCAATTTTGGTGAAGTGGGTGGGGTTTGGGGAGGCAAAAAATACTGCATTCAGTGTATAAGACGCACCCAGATTTTCAGCTTTTTAAAGAAAAAAAGGTGTGTCTTATACTATACGGTAGTTTTTATATGATTTATAGGAGTTCATGATAATCCTCACAATTATTGTCTGATGAACATTCTCAAACCACCAGGGGAATCTACAAAGGGAAGATTTAAAAGGCCAGAATGGTAACCACCATTGGAAGCTCTGATTCCTTTTTCCCCATGGATTGCAAATACGGCACAAGGAGAGAGAAAAATCTTTCACTGTGTAGTCACAGCTGCCATCTTGACTTTTTCGACCCACCCAAACCCCATCTCAGAACATTTCACACATTCACATGTAATGCATGAGGCAGTCCTCAACTTACAACAGTTCATTTAGCTTCTATTTGAAGTGAAGACACTGAAAAAAGTGACTTATGACCATTTTTCACACTTAGGACCATTGCAGGATTCCCATGGTCATGTGATTTACATTCAGACGCTTAACATCTGGTTCATATTTATGACGGTTGCAGTGTCCCAGGTCACGTGATCATCTTTTGCGATCTTCTTACTTGTCAGACTCAAGTAACAACAATTACTAATTTAACATCTGCAGTGATTCACTTAGCAAACGTGACAAGAAACGTCATAAAATGGGACACTTAACAAATTTCTCTTTTAGCAATATAAATTCTGGGCTCAGTTGTGGTTATAAGTCGAAGGCTACCTTCTGTACTAAATCTGTATTGTTGAGAAGGGTGTAAATATCTTAAGTTTTATAGTGGCAAGAATGTTTGATTAGCTAGAGGGCACTGTAAATTGTTCTTGTTCTTTTAGCTCAGATCCTACTTGAAAACATTTGCCAAAAAGAAGATCAAACTTGATCCCTCTAAAGCATCAACTACTTGGCATTTTTCCAGAGTTGTGCAGATGTTGCGTAGTGCCAAGAAGAAAGATATCCTTCTACTACTGAAGAAAGCTCCAGAGAGCATGTTGTAAGTAAAGGAAAATTATTATTCCTGTTATCGTTTGTTGCACAGTCAACCAGATATTTAGACTGGATTTGGCAGTTTTATCCACCTATCAAGTCCTTCCCAAGGACCTTGGATAATCAGAGATTCTTGTTTGATGGAGTTATAGCTATCTTTGCAGGATGTAAGATGTTCCAAGTAACCTCTTGGGTGTTTTTTTGCATTTGGCTGGTAATGATTTTGTCAATGCTGTATTATTATTTTCGCTTTCCTGAGGACATCCAAAGTACTGCTATTCCTTTTTACAGAAAATTAAAGCACAAGGCATTGTACTTATCCGGGATATTTGCAGGGTTGTGTCAAAAAAGTCATGCCCACAACCATCTAATCAAAGTCCCACACACTTAACTAATTCTGCAGATGCCCTGAACTTTATCATTCTGCCCCCAGCTATCTCAACATTTAATTTTTTTTTTCTTTCTTATCTCATTTTTAGACCCTTCTACATTGAAGCTGCAATAGCTGCCCATTCAACACCTTCCTTATTAGCGGTGACTGAATTTCTGGATTTGCAGGGCAGAAAGCAAATGTCCTTGGTGGAAAACTTCCTCTATGCTGCAGCTTTGTCTCCTCGTCCTTCCAAGGAACTTTTCGGTCTGGTGCTTGTAAGTCCAAGCCATTTCTGGTATTCGTTGTACTGCTCTTTCCATATCTTGATGTTTCAATATTGCTTTTATCCAGTGGTGAAATCTAAAAAATTTTCCTACTGGTTTTCTGGGAGTGGCTTGGTGGGTGTGGCTTGGTGGTGGTGGGGGTCATGTGACTGAGTGGGCGTGGTTGTGTAGTCATGTAATTGGGGGATCAAAAGACAGAAACTCATTTTAACAATGTCCTGCTGGAGCAGGGTTGGACCTCCGGGTCCCTTCCAGCCCTGGATTATCCTCTGAAACTGCATCTAGTGCCAGGTTTGTAGTCCTTCCTTCCTCTCCTTTTTCCTTCCCTCCCTCTATCCCTCCATCCTTTTCTCTTTCTTTCTTTCTTTCTTTCTTTCTTTCTTTCTTTCTTTCTTTCTTTCTTTCTTTCTTTCTTTCTTTCTTTCTTTCTTTCTCAGGACTCCCCACCCTCATTTTTTGCCTAGCAGACCCCAGGGAAGCCTGCTGAGAGCAAAAACGGACCCCCCACCCCTGCATTTCCAGAGAACCTGTAGTAAAAAAAAAATGCTGAACAAGTTTTTTAAGCCTACAAGCCTCCTAAAGGCTATTCATGCCTTTAAAAAAAAACAGGCCTGTTTTTGTGAAAATTGGCCCGTTTTTGGAAGGTTTGCAGAGTGCAAAAACTTTTTTTTTAAATTGCCTCTTCAAAACCTTGGTGCGTCTTATACTCCGCTGCATCTTATACTCTAAAAATATGGTAATCAGAAGTTCCGAAGATCAGCTGTGCAACGTGTGATCATCGGAACTTTTTTTATATACATATTTTAGTATTTTTTACTATTGGTTCTGTAAACCAATAGCATTTTTTACTACCGGTTCGGGTGAACGGGCTCAAACCGATAGCATTTCACCCCTGCTTTTATCTCCTTTTACTTTTAAGTGATGCATCAATGGATGGATGCATGCATGGGTGCATGTACCTAGGTCCGTGATGGCAAACCTATGGCACGTGTGCCCCAGGTCAGATCTCCATGGCGTTTCTTTCGTGACTTCCGTTTCCCTGTAAATGACAAAACAGAAGCTCACGAAAGGAAAAGATCTTACCTCTTGCTTGCGCTGCCAGTGTTGGGATGCCCCACCTCCCGCCAGCCGCCTGGTGTTCAGGTCTCTGCTGTGCATGCATGCATGTCCATGCATTTGCGCGGGTGCACAGCTTTCAGTTTGGGCATGCGCGCGCGCAGTTTGGCCACTCGGTGGATAAAAGATTGGCCATCACTGATCTAGGTAAAGATTTTGATATGGCTGTGAGATGCCCAAGTTACACAGCAAAAATGATATGAAGCAGCACCATAGAATGGAATACAGATTTGACAAAATAGAATGCCAGAATGATTTTTCTATGGTCGTCTCATATATTCACCCTTGCTTTGTATTCAGTACTTGGTGACCTTTTGATGAATATTTGAGCTGTCTGCACTGAAAGAAAATACTTCCAAGGCAAAGAGCTTAATAAGATTAATAAAAACAAGTAAGAACTTCACTGCACAAATTATATTACGATATCTCTGACAAGCTGTTATCCAGGTCCGTGTCTCCGAAGGGAAGCTATTCCACTGGTTTCATGGAAGACAATTTTCCCATGGAGTGGTGGGTGGGTGAGGAGTATGCAATCTAGATTCCATACATGTGCAGTTTACAGTAGGGTTTGCTGTTCCGCTGCTCACCTCCACCTGTGCTGCCCAGTTCTTAACAAGCCGAGGACCAGTACTGGTATGTTGCCTGGGAATTGGGGACCAGTGCTGTATAAAACAGTTGAACAGAACAGTTACAGTGGGGTCCACCTGAGATCTCCTGCCAAGTTGATCCCGAGTTATTTATGAGTACCTGTTGCCACAAAAGAGTCTTTCCGGATTATAAATATTCCTTTGAGCTCTTGGCAACTCCATGGATACATCCATGTACTTTTCTTAGCAGCAAGTCAGATTTGCCTTGCTCTATTCTGGGATGTTTCAATGGTCCCTACAGCCTTTAATGTTCTGGCGGTCAACTATCCAAGTACTAATCAGGTTCAACCAGGGGTGAAATCTACTTACCTTTGTTACTGGTTTGCAAATGTGACCGTGCGGGCGGAGCATTGAAAATGGATGTGACAACATCCAGGTAGGTGGGCGGAGCCTGCTACTGAGTGTGCCTGCAAAGATAAGTAAAATGGGGGGGGGGATCCGCAGTGCCACGTGATTTAGATTAGCTAGAAAGCAGGAAATCTTGCTTTCTAGCTAATATAAATCGTGCGCCAGAAATACCGGCTTTTTTTACTACTGGTTTGGGTGAACCGGTCCAAACCAGTAGCATTTCACCCCTGGGTTTAACTGTGCTCAGCAGTTGGGAATCATGCCAAGATAAGCAAGATGTTGCCAACTTGGGCATCTCTCCTTCTGGAAATTGACGTTCACACTACT